GATAGGACCAGCCAGTCTTGTCCATACCTGTCATTCTAATGATGACAATATTAATGATAGAACCAGCCAGTCTTGTCTATACCTGTCATTCTAATGATGACAATATTAATGATAGGACCAGCCAGTCTTGTCTATACCTGTCATTCTAAATGATGACAAAAGTAATGACAGGACCAGCCAGTCTTGTCCATACCTGTCATTCTAATGATGACAAAAGTAATGAAACAAGCTTGCAAGATTGGAACATAAACATGAAACAAGCTTGCAAGATGGGAACATAAACATGAAACAAGCTTGCAAGATGGGAATGTAAACATGAAACAAGCTTGTAAGACGGGAACATAAACAAGCTTGTAAGACAGGAACATAAACATGAAACAAGCTTGCAAGATGGGAATGTAAACATGAAACAAGTTTGTAAGACAGGAACATAAACATGAAACAAGCTTGTAAGATGGGAACATAAACATGAAACAAGTTTGAGAGACAGGAACATAAACATGAAACAAGTTTGTGAGACAGGAACATAAACAAGCTTGTAAGATGGGAATGTAAACATGAAACAAGCTTGTAAGACAGGAACATAAACATGAAACAAGCTTGTAAGACAGGAACATAAACATGAAACAAGCTTGCAAGATGGGAATGTAAACATGAAACAAGTTTGTAAGACAGGAACATAAACATGAAACAAGCTTGTAAGACAGGAACATAAACAAGTTTGTAAGACAGGAACATAAACATGAAACAAGCTTGTAAGATGGGAACATAAACATGAAACAAGTTTGAGAGACAGGAACATAAACATGAAACAAGTTTGTGAGACAGAAATGTAAACATGAAACAAGTTTGTAAGACAGGAACATAAACAAGCTTGTAAGACAGGAACATAAACATGAAACAAGTTTGTAAGACAGGAACATAAACAAGTTTGTAAGACAGGAACATAAACATGAAACAAGTTTGTATGACAGGAACATAAACAAGTTTGTAAGACAGGAACATAAACATGAAACAAGCTTGTAAGATTATTTATTCACCTCATTATAAAACATATATAAAACAAACATTGTACATTATGCTAAACAAAAACTCAAAGAAATCCACAGATAATCTGAACATCAGCGGTGCTTCTTAAAGAGAAAATACATAAAACAGAATTAAATATATTGTTAAAAAAAACTGTAATTTCTTGAATTGTGCTTAAAATTAAATTTTATGACAATATGAACACTTTCAGAGGGTTCATAATTTCGTACCTGTGAAGGGTAAATATAATGACGTGGACACTGCTTCAAATGGTTTAATATCTTTCAACTGCTTTTGGAATTCAAAGACTAATGTAGTTGACGTGGTCAACCGAGTGAAAGCGTGTGGATACTGCTTTCGAACCTCCATTCTTCAGGGTGACGGATTAAGATGTGCTGAACGTGTAGTCTGAATGAAGTAAATAGTACTAAAATTAGCAAGACGACACTTACAATAAAACGAAGAAAGGAAGTTAACACTACAAAACTAAAGTAAAAAAAAATATGACGCGTTAATATAGGATTCCTTTAAAATCACAAAATTAAATGTCAATCTATTTGATGGTCAAAAGACCGTTTTGGCCAGGTGGTTAGGGCACTTGACTCGCAATCTGAGGGTCGCAGGTTCGAATCCCTGTCATACCAAACATGCTCGCCCTTTCAGCCATGGGAACGTTATAATGTGATAGTCAATCCCACTATTCGTTGATAAAAGAGTAGCCCAAGAGTTGGCAGTGGGTGGTGATGACTAGCTGCCTTCGCTCAAGTCTTTCAGTGCTAAATTAGCTTTGTGTAGCTTTATGCAAAATTCAAAAACAAAGTCTGTTTTAATAATATTTTAACCCTAAGTTTACATCAAGTTTAATGTTTTTACACTGTCTGTCTTAAATGTTTAAGTCATCAAATCTTAACTTTGGTAAAAAACAAAGTAACTTTAGAGAAAATAACTGTTTACCTTTTCTGAAGAGTTTATTAATAATATGACATTGTATCTTAGGTTAAAATATGTATAGTGGTTTTAACTTTTTCAAACATTTGTTGAAAATTATAAAAAAAAATTCTCGTATCATGAAGAATAACCAAAAATTAAACAATCATCAATTTTGTCAGCTGTTTGGTCCAGTTGACTAACACATGAATGTATAGGTTTATATTTGAATTTACGATGTCACGTGAAATAAGAACAGTCCAAGTTTTAATTTTGTGCTAAACCTGCTTTATGATCTACAACAAAGGTTTTATAAATGACTTGGCAGTGTAGTAGGTTGTAACATTGTTGTAGCTGATCTAACAGTGGTAGTGTAGTAGGTTGTAATATTGTTGTAGCTGATCTAGCAGTGGCAGTGTAGTAGGTTGTAACATTGTTGTAGCTGATCTAGCAGTGGCAGTGTAGTAGGTTGTAACACTGTAGCTGATCTAACAGTGGCAGTGTAGTAGGTTGTAACACTGTAGCTGATCTAACAGTGGCAGTGTAGTAGGTTGTAACATTGTTGTAGCTGATCTAACAGTGGTAATGTAGTAGGTTGTAATACTGTCGTAGCTGATCTAGCAGTGGCAGTGTAGTAGGTTGTAACTGTTGTAGCTGATCTAGCAGTGGCAGTGTAGTAGGTTGTAACACTGTTGTAGCTGATCTGGCAGTGGCAGTGTAGTAGGTTGTAACACTGTCGTAGCTGATCTAGCAGTGGTAATGTACTAGGTTATAACACTGTCGTAGCTGATCTAACAGTGGCAGTGTAGTAGGTTGTAACACTGTCGTAGCTGATCTAGCAGTGGCAGTGTAGTAGGTTGTAACACTGTTGTAGCTGATCTGGCAGTGGCTGTGTAGTAGGTTGTAATATTGTCACAGCTGCAGTGGCAGTGTAGTAGGTTGTAATACTGTCACAGCTACAGTGGTAATGTACTAGGTTGTAACACTGTTGTAGCTGATCTGGCAGTGGCAGTGTAGTAGGTTGTAACACTGTCATAGCTGATCTAGCAGTGGCAGTGTAGTAGGTTGTAACACTGTCGTAGCTGATCTAGCAGTGGTAGTGTAGTAGGTTGTAACACTGTTGTAGCTGATCTAGCAGTGGTAGTGTAGTAGGTTGTAAAGTAATACTGTCACAGCTGCAGTAGTAGTGTACTAGGTTGTCATACTGTCACAGCTACAGTAGTAATGTACTAGGTTGTAATACTGTCACAGCTACAGTGGTAATGTACTAGGTTGTAATACTGTCGTAGCTGATCTAACAGTGGTAGTGTAGTAGGTTGTAATACTGTCACAGCTACAGTGGTAATGTACTAGGTTGTAATACTGTCACAGCTGCAGTAGTAATGTACTAGGTTGTCATACTATCACAGCTACAGTGGTAATGTACTAGGTTGTAATACTGTCACAGCTACAGTGGCAGTGTAGTAGGTTGTAATACTGTCACAGCTGCAGTAGTAATGTACTAGGTTGTAATACTGTCACAGCTACAGTAGTAATGTACTAGGTTGTAATACTGTCACAGCTACAGTGGTAATGTACTAGGTTGTAATACTGTCATAGCTGCAGTGTAGCAGATATTCTCTGCTACTGTGGTATCACTAACGTTTCTGTATGATTAACCATGAATTAAAACAAACCGATATTAAAACATACCGAACGATCGTGTTAAACAAATAATACAATATATATACCATAGACCACGTTTACAGAAACCGAATAATGGAAATATCCATTGTACTCTATTACAATAACGTAAATAAACGTAATACACCACTCTAGAACTAACTCAACAACTCATATAAATAATATTGAACGTAAAACTGGTACACAATTAAAAACATTTTATTTAGGCCTATCTATGGCCTTCAGAAAATTGACGACTCTACCTGTTTCGACGTTGTGTACCAGTTCAACGTTGAATATTATTTATGACTTTAACTTTATACACAAGTGCCAAAATACTATAACAACTCATATGGTGTAAAACCCACGTAACACTAAATATTACAGTCAACTGTGTAATCAGACAGTTTCAATGCTTCTTCCTACAGTTCGGTTAACAGCAACACCCTGAAAATCTTGTCTTGCACGTACTTTGTATGTCTGTGAATGACGTAATTAAAAGACAGAGATATTAATAATAATTATCATAAATAATACCTCAATATGTCACTCTGGTGTCCTAGAAAAGAAACAGAGTACGGGGCCGTCATTAAATTCGGTAATAAAAGTACGTGAAAAAAAATAACGATAATAGTATGTTTATTCATACTAGTAAACCTATCCTTTCAATGCACGGACTTAGGCTGACTATTATTAGAAATAAAATTTCAATAAACGGTATACAAAACCAGTCTTCCTAATTGTAACAAACATAGATACAAATAGATATTACATTATGTATATATTAGGTCGTCAAGAAATTAATATCGCTATTTTTTAGATGAAAAAAACCCGAACAACTTATATATCAAAACAAAACATTTATTAAATTAAATAGTCTCCATTCTTATCGATGATGCTTTTCCATCTTACAATAAGGTTGTTAATACCCTGATTAAAGAAATCACTTGGCTTTGAAGTAAAAAAAACATGTCGATGTCCTCTTTAACACCTATTTGCACACGTTTTCCCATTAAGATGGTGTTGCAGCGAACGAAAAATATGGTAATCTG